CTGATATTACCGCTCACCAGAAACCGTCGATTTCTAAATTGCAAACATGTCCCAAGCCTTAGGCCAGAGGGCTTAGGGCGTAGTGTTTAGGGTTTATGGGTTCCTCTGGGATCCCCCCCCCAAACAAGTTTTCACTCGATTGGGGGCCCCCCGTTTATTCGGATCCGGACTTGTTGGGCGGGGGGGGTGGTTTATAATCAGAACCCACAATTACATAGGAATTTTTACGGAGATCTTATTCCCTTATTCCCTGGTAACAACCAGTAAGCAACCATCAACCCAAAAATCCAAGGTTTCCATCTAAACCCTAGACCCTATACCCCTAAACCCTACACCCTAAACCCTAATTCCTAAACCCTAAACCCTAAACCCTAAAAGCTGGGCCCCTCAACGTGCGCTTCTCCCCGCCCAATGCAGCTCCGCTTTGGCCGCGCCTCCAGGAACCATTTTGCTTTATCATCTTGCCATTATAGGGTTTAGGGTTTAGGGTTTGGGTTTAGGGTTTAGGGTTTAGGGTTTGGGGTTTAGGGTTTAGGGTTTGGGGTTTAGGATTTAGGGTTTGGGGGGAGTAACATCCCGATGAACCCTAAATGATCCAAGTTCCATTTCATGTTCCATCTTCCCCATTCGCTTCTCCATGCTTTCTTTGAAAGTGCTTGAAAATTATATCGCTTTTGTTGATCGTGGCTGCTGCCTTTCATCCCTAGAATTCTTTGCGGCATCACATACATATTAAGACTGGCGTCGCCGCCAGCAATGCTAATTGCAACACAAATTCTAAGTGGCTGCCTTCCTCTACAACAAACGTTCAGATTCAAGCTTTGACGGATGGAGGGATCTCCGGAGAGATACCCTCCTGCAGATGTTGCGTGTGATGTACTAGTGTTTCAGTCGGCAAGTCGAGCACATCACTGAGTGCTTCAGGCGCGAAGTGGTGGAGCTTCTGATCAAATTTGAAACCGAAGGAAATATCTTTGAAGCGCCTTCTTGATTTCAGTAAGTTTAATTAGATACAGGTTCTCAGGGCTTTGGGCCTCCTGTATCCTTAATGCCTCTTCGTCAGCTTTGTGGCACTTGACAGGCTCAAACCTGATGGCTCTACATCCGATGCTTCACTCTACAACCGTGGCTCCAAAACATCAGACGCCTCCGACTCGAGCCAAACAACTGTTACCCTGCTCAAGCACGTAGTGTAGGGCCAAGTTATCCGGCCCGACGCAAGCCGTTGAAACTGAAGCCTAAATCCTAAAAAAATACCTGAAAGTATTACCAAGCCCCACAACCTAGAACTCTTCTTGATGAGCAAGATTCTGCATGGCTTTTTCCCGAAACCTTGGAAATGAGCTAGTAACCTGATTCGCGGGTCATGCCGCATCTTGTCCAGCAACCGCAAACCCGGGCGCAAAACCAGAAACTACGCAAAGAACTTCGGCAATTGCCCGGGGCCCCGGGGCCTACCGCTTTTCCTCAACTCACATATCCAAAGCCCTAGGTAGCATAA